AAAATTCCATGTGTACATTCCACGTACATTCTGTAAGAATATTCATAGAACATTCAGAATATGCCATAGACACTCAGGGAACATTTAATGCGAATATTCCGTGGGCATTCTGTGTGAATGTTCATAGAATATGAAGAACATTCTAGAAAAATTCACGGCACATCTGTTAGTATCAGGATAGTCGGGATCGAGGTATTTGGCAGATAGGCACTCGACTACGATCTCGTCGACAGGCCGTTAACAACGAACTCACTTTTATTGCTTTTATTGCCTGGAAAATGTAGGCGTTACACTAGGTTCGCTCGTCAAAGGACAACTAACTACAAAACCGTTACAAAAGGGGGAGCGTCCGTTCCTTGTCCCCTTCCACTCTAGACATCTCTGTGGTGCCAACCATACAAAGAAAACGCAACTAAAATAACTAACGCGCTAAGCTAGGACCTTTTCCGACATCCTCCCCCCCTTTAGATATTCACGCTTGTAACCGTGGATATCAAAAGAAACATAAACGAAATTCACAATTTTTCAGGACATCTTACAGTACGTCCGCTTCGGGTTGTATATGGCACAGGAGGCATACTCTCACCACTTAACTTCCCTACGTCTGATACCTGTTTTTGCTTGTCACTCCTTATATTACGATTGGTAGTTTTTGAGTTAATCCTTTTATCATAGATTTTATTCAACTCCTCCTGTTCCATATCCGTGTCCACTTCTAAATGATACAATTTTTGAACGGGCCGCACCAGAAGACCCCTTGCGGTACGTAAACGCACGACTCTCACAACCCCGTCTTTCCCAGGGAAAAGCTCCAATACTCGACCTAAGGGCCATTCTATTCGCTTATTACACTCATCTCCAACAAGTACAACATCACCAACTTTTATCTGGCGATGCTCGAAGGATCTCCTAGAGGAAGCATATTTCAATTGCCCGAGGTATTCCACTCGAAAACGTTTACGTAGCTCTTCTTTTATTATAAGAATTGCCGATATCTGAACCTACCCCTCAATCTTTCTCCGTCAACGAAATCACACTCAGGCAAACCTACCTCGCGAATTTCTTGCAGAAATAAATTAGGCGTAATAGGAGCCAGATCCCGAGGATCGTCAGATAAATATGTCAAAGGACGAGCGTTAATCACGGATTCGCAATCACACAGTACGGTAAACATCTCTTCGTAACCCAAGCAAGCTTTGCCAAGTATTTTCCGCAACATGCGTTTCAAAATCTGGATCAACCGCTCCCACCAACCTCCCCACCAGGGAGCACTTGGAGGGTTGAATCTCCATTCTATCTTACGTAACACACAAAACTCTTCGATTTTTTCTCGATCAACTTGTTTCAACAAGTTGTTGAAACCTCCGAAATTAGTCCCGTTATCGCTGTATACCGTGTTCGGCCGTCCCCTTCGGGATACGAATCTCCGAAATGCCTCCATAAACCTTTCCGCGGAAAGGGACGACACCAACTCTAAATGTACCGCTCGATACACCGCACAGGTAAAAATGCAGACCCAGGCCTTAACTTCAGCCTTGAGATACAATGGGCCCGCAAAATCCACCCCCACGATCTCGAACACTCTACCCAGGTAGAACAGAAAAGTCATAATGATATCATTAGGATGTCATTATGACATTATTTGTCACTTAAAAGTCACTAATAAAAAATGATGCAAAAATGATGTAAAAATGAAAAAGGAATCGTACACTATCCCAGGTAGAACACAAAATCATAAAAATCATTATGACGTCATTCGATACACTTTTTATGATTTTGTGATAAATTCTTGATGTAGAAATGATTTTTAAGTGATTTCTATAGTGATTTCTAGTTAAAAATCACTTAAAAATCATTTCTACATCAAGAACTTATCACAAAATCATCATAAAAAGTGTATCGAATGACGTCATAATGATTTTTATGATTTTGTGTTCTACCTGGGTATATATTATAGATAAAAGCGTCCTTTGGTTTTTAAAATATTTATATCGTTTTAATATACAGTTGTTGAAGTAAAATATTGTTTATTAGTAATTTTTAAGAGACAAATGTCATGATGACATCCTAATGATATCATTATGACTTTTCTGTTCTACCTGGGATAGTATGTGTAGGCATAGTGTCTATAAGGCAAGATCTGCGCACAATGGAGAAATAAGAATAAATATTAGCTATTATGAATAAAGAAATATAAAGAGTTCTAGAATCAGTTGTAGAATTAGCCAATTTTTCCAACCAAGCCAATAAGAGTTGTGATATTATTTTTGTGATATTTTTGTGATATTATTTTGTGATACAATAATGTTTGTATGAACTTGTATTGATAAGAATGTTTTTTTAAGTGCAATTTTTAATGTTTGTATCAACTTGTATTGATAAGAATGTTTTTGTCAAGCGCAATTTTTAATGTTTGTATGATCTTGTATTGATAAAAATGTATTTTGTCAAGTGCAATTATAGACAGTGTATCCAATTTTATGCTTTCTTTTTCACCTTTTTGACATTATTTAATAGTTATTATTTTAATAGTTGCAAAATAAATATTTATTTTATTGAATGCAAGCAATCAAGAGGATTAGAAAATTACAAAAACTCATTTTTTAATCATGATTTGATCATTTTCTCATCATTTTGACATTATTTAGATGTAATTTTGATGTCATTGTGATTTCCTTTTTTACATATCTAGTTAAAAATCAC